CTACTGGTGTTGGTCAGAGGGCCCGGTGGCGCCAGTGTCCGGCAGCCTCGCCTCTGTCAGTGCGCCCCAGGGTGGCTGTGGCTACAATGTAGCTGCCATCACCAGTGTGTGAATGTGTGTGTGACTGGGTGGGTGACTGGATGTGTAAAGCGCTTTGGGGTCCTTAGGGACTAGTAAAGCGCTATACAAATACAGGCCATTTACCATTTATTGTGCATCTACCTTGAAGTATCTGTAGGTAAATAAAATACATTGTAATTCCATATAACATACACTGAAATTCCATTTAATTACAGGGTAATTATGTCCTTAGTTTTTAGTTTTTTTCTCATTTTTTAATATTTTTATTTTAATAAATAACATGCCAGCTGAGTCGTGTAAAGTCTTAAAGGGCAGGTGTGTAGGAATGGATATGTATCAGCTAAACTGGAATGCAGTGTTCATAATGCTACGTAATAACAGGATTGCTTAATAAGAGCTCTTTGTGTTTACTTGGTAGATGTACAGATAAATCAAACACTTTCTGTAGGGACTTTTACATTTTAATGTTGACACAAAATCTGACCTATACCATAGACCATGGACCTTCAGTCCATCCATCAATTTTCTTCTGGTATTCCAGTTCAAGGTCAGAGTTTTTCCCGAGCTGTCATAGGGTGAGAGGCAGTGTATATCCTGCGCACATCGCCCTATAGTCTCATCTAAATGATTAAAAACAGCGAAGGAGGTACACTTGATTGGTCTCAGCCTGTAGATTTACTAGATGTCATTGAATTCTACACAGCAGTTGTTTAAAGTGATCAGAACATTTCGGGTGAAGAAATGTAAAAGGCTTTTACAACGCCAAATTTGAGGGCACAGAAGTCCAGGAGATGACCAGCTTGTCTTTACATTTTTAATTCAATCTGTCCTTAGTAGCGGGTGGTATTATAAAGCGTTACCAACAAGTTCCATGAAAACTTTGTTTAAAAAAAAAATTCCGATAAAAATGTTATATACTACTATGAAATGCCATTATTTAGGTCTTTCTAGGCCCTGAGTCTGCCTAACACGATAATAATTCCTCACCCTCAGCTGAAGCACAGTCTTTTGATGATGAGTGGCAGCAGGAAGTGTCCAAGTTTCAGCAAACCGGGCCCATGTCTCGCTTGAACGAACCACAACCCCGTGTTGTTCACCAGGCAGCCCTCACCGGTCCTGAGCAGGACCACAGGTTGGATTATTATTGGATTATTATGTAGTGCTGCAGACAGTTGAGAAACTCCAGATCAGCATCAAATGACAAACATATGGAAGATACGTATTTAATTTTTGTCTTTGTTTTGGTGTTTCCTGCAGAGACCAACCAGGGAGCAAGGCTAAAGGAAAACAGAAAAAGTGAGAGCTCAGGGACGACGAAGCAGTGTGCAATAAAGTTGTTTGTTTTTAAACAGCATACAGTACAAACTGGTGCCCTTCTTACCCATAAACACAGTCAGACCACTGACCTGGATTTTAAAAGGTCAAGCTGTGTCTGGTTTTTCAATATTTTGGCTCGGTTACTTACGTTTCACACTACTGCTGCACATTTTCTGAAACATGCTGCACAACTATGAGAATGCTAAACATTTTTCAGCACTTAGTTTGAATCGGTGCACTATTTGCTACACATAAATGGTAAGGCGTTTGGCACTACACGAGACAAAAGAATTATTAAAAACTAGAAAATGTTTATATCTCTGGGGCATTAATGATATAGAAATGTAATGCATTGAAGTTGCAAAAGCAGTTATAGTGCACTTTGAATATGCTTGGTTTCATTATATTTTTTTTCCTTGAGGATGTAGTGATGTCATCATATTGGGGTAACACATTCAAAACGCAGTTGATTTCATCAGTTTCTCGTATTGTCTTTTTTAATATTGTCATGCAGCCAGACCGGAGAGAACATAGTGAAGTACTGAGCTGTGTGGAATGCGCTAATGCACTTAGATCATACCTGTTTTGTCTGAGATTATGTTGTCTTGTACCTGATGCGACAGATATGTACTTTATCTGCTGTAATCTATGTAAAAAGAACTATTACCCTTCTCTTTTTATATTGTTAATTTGGTGTTGTCTCGCTTTTCATCTGATGAACTCCGTTCTGCATTGCACAAACTGTCGACGTGTGTATTTTTCTCAGTGATTTGTGTATTTTTACGAGCTTTAACAGTGAAGAAAATGTATCAACTGAAAATAAAAGTGATAAGACTAATCTGTTGGGTTTTTTTAAAACTATATACAAAGGTTATCCTCAATATTTGGAAGTCAGTCTGAATACTGAATAGCATAGCATAGCCGGTGTCGTAATGAAGCCCTTGTCTCTAGGAGTGACCGGGGGTGGTATTTTTGGATCTAAGCACTTGTCAGTAGCTCAGATTGGTCTGAGATGTTACACAGCTGCAAGCGTGCCTCTCACATGTTTCTATATCAGACTGCATACATCCCAGAGCTTCAGATACAATTGGAAGAAGCTGCAGAAACCTGACCTGTTAACAAAGTCCTCATTCACCCTCTGAATACACAGCACAAGGGCCAAAAGAGCATGATGGTATGTAAATATAGAGTGCTGTGCAAAAGTCTTGAAACACCTTTCATTTCATTATATTTTGCTTCTAATGGCTCAGACCTTTACTCTGTAGCTCTGTACATTGGCTGCTTTTTCAGTCATTTTCAGTCCAGTCCTTATGCCTGAACCATTGTTTTAGAAGTGCTTTTTTGTTAAGCCACTTAATACTGACTTATTCAAGCATAAAGGCACCATATTCAAGGGATGAACCATGTTTGAGCCTTCACAGACAAATGAGCAAAACTATTTTAAATATTATTTTTAGACACTCATTTGCAGCCTGTCATAAAAACACATAATTTATTCACATTTCTTTAGCTGAATTTATGAAAAATCCCAACAATAACATGTTGACATTAAATACTATTTTTTTCACCAACAAGGTGATTCCCAAAGATATATTAGCAGAAAACTTGCATATTTCTGCATCGTGTCCAGCTTGTCCTTCAAAACATTAGGAAACTGGATAAGTGAGAGACAAAAGAAGAAGTGACAAGCTTAAAAAAGCTAATTGCAGCAGAGGAACGGTATCTGAAAGTCACATCCTTAAGAAACATGAAAAATTTCAGCAAACATAAGTAGAAAGATTTTATTAGCGAATACAAACGTGTTATAAAAGACTTCACCTGCGCTTCTGCCGCCACCTGCTGGTCATCTTCCAACATAACGTCTGTCAGAATTATTTACAAAGTGGGGGCAAAAACACAACTTCACGCTCCACCAAATATACATGACCTTTTGACCTGCTGACATAAATCATCATCATGGCCAATGTAGCATGAAAGTGAGAAGTAAATATTTTACAATTCTGTCACCTTTTACAAAACACCTGGTGCATAAAGAGCTGTAACCATCAGTCCATATCTATATGATTCCTTGAGGCTGTCCCTTTCCTGCAATCTTCTTAGAACACTCCAGCAAAGCGTTGTGGATATCTTTGGCACAGGAGATCTGAGATTTGATCATGCCAAGGTACTGGGCATATGACATGGACTCTGTCTGGACGGTGTCTGGCTTGGTGGCTGTTGGGACCAGGTTGGGTGAGTGTTTGGCACTGTCGATGCTCTGTGAGAGGCACTCATATGCTAGTCGCTGCACAGAGAAGAAGAAAAAATTCAGTTTGTGGAGGAAATCTTAAGTGTAGATACAGTGCAGTGGTCCCTCGTTTATCGCGGGAGTTACATTCTAAAAGGTCTTTTAGATTTGACTGATAACTTCTTTAATTTTAATGCTTTTTTTAATAGTCAGTCTTGAGTTAAGTTCTTTTTCATCTGTTTAAGTCATTAAAACATATCACAATGAGATTGGTTTACACCCAATTTAAATATTTGTAATGTTTTGTAAGAAAAAAGGTTTACAGTCATATTTAGTTTTTAGGGGTACAGTTATGATCTCTTACAGAAATGACAAAACACTCACAAAAATCAACACATAAATGTGTCTGGATGTCTGTTTTTACTCCTTGATGGATTATTTGTTTGTTTGAATCTTACCAAACACAGCTCAAGTTGATCGCAAAGGGCATAAAACTCCTCCAGGCTTTTGTCAAAGCGCTGAAGTGTCACTGAAGTGTCACTGGTTTTTCTAAAACAAAAGGGAAAAAAATACACACATAGAAATAAATCAGAAGGCTGCTTGACACAGACATACAGATCAGAGGTTGCTACAAACGACGCTACTTACATGCCGTTGTCAATCGTCGTGTTATATGCCAAATTCAGGGAGGCGATTCTCATTACATTCTGCATTGGAAAGAAGTAAAGTAAATTTTATTCACACTCTACACCTTCACAGTATGTTTCAGATCAATATTGAGCCAGGCGAAGAATTCCTTCCTAAGTGTCTACAACAGATTTTGGATAATAGTGAATTAGTGACTAATGATTCTTATTAATGTTTCAAAGAACAGGAAGATAGTATATTTTTAGGTTTTACATGACTGTCAAAACGATTTAAATATATTTTATTCAAAGGAAAATGTCAAGATAATTCCAGAACTGATTGGCTGTTTAACTACACATTTACACAGGACTTTACAGGACCCGGCCAAATATGTTGGGAGGCAGGCAGTTCCCATGGTAATGTGAAAGTCCCCTTTGACCTCCGTCATAAGAGTCCAATAAAAATAATAAAAATACACATCAAGAGGCGTGGGATGTACAGTTTCACGGTTTCAATATTCACTAAAATCACAGTTTAATTGAAGTAGAACCACACTGGTGGATCTAAAATCCACCTCAATAGATCGGGATTAACGTCATTGTACAAACATTTGAAGCACCTGTGCAACAGTATCGAATTATAAAATATATTTTATGTATACTGGGTAACTTTCGGGAAAGTTATCAAATTTCAGGCTAAAAGAATTAAATTTGTTTTGTTTTTTACTGCTGTTAAATGTCAAAACGAACAGTATGTGAGGGTTAGCATCTTCAGCCAGCTACATGCGCAGCACTTACCTGTAAGCTCTCCTTTAGCTGCGGTATAAGCATCTTAAATCTCTGAACTGGGTCAAAGTCTTGCTGTTGACTCAGTTGCTGTTGTTGTTGTTGTTGTTGTTGTTGTTGCTGCTGCTGCTGTTGTTGTTGCTGCTGCTGCTGCTGTTGTTGTTGCTGCATTGAAGCAGACTGTTGTTGTAATCCGGCCTGAGACATCGACCCTCCTGGTTGCGGCTGCTGAGACGCCATCTTGTTCTGCTGTGACTAGAATATCCGGGAAAATATCCGGTTCTATAATTTTCAAAATAAAAGTAATTCTTAAGAGGGCCACTGAAGGAAGAGGGCAGGGACGGGTATAAAATAAATTTAAAAAACAACAAAACACTCCTCAAAATCTTCTATATTAAACCTTATATTATACATTTTAATTGGATTAAGCAACAAACAAATACTGATTTTAGCACAGAGTCACCACATTATAAACTTCCAGACTTTGAAGAGACCTTGTAATGAAATGGGTCCATTCAGAAGAAAATAACAGACTCGTTTAGGTTAGGTGATAGCTTTTGTGTGTCAATTTGCCACTTTAATGTAAAAAATTTGTTGTCCCTTAGTTTTTTCCTACCTTCTGTGGCCCTAATACTCTTTTGTACAGTCTTGATTATTTTGAACTACATGTACAACCTTATTCATTCCCAGAGATACTGTTTTTATTAATTGTAATAATACTTTAGTTTGTTTTCCGTGGTTCTTTTTCATTTACATAAAAATACAATTTTTATTTTGCGATATTTAATGTATTTTCTGTACCAGTGATTGTATGAATGACTTTAAAAAAATTACAGGCTTTGCAAAGCAGGAACAGATAAGGAATTCCTCAGAGATTCATGGATGTAATGATGAGAGATGCTGAGGATAGCGTGATATGGAGGCAGGTGATCCGCCTCCTAAATAAGCAGTTTAAAGAAGAAGAAAGAGGTCTTTAAGGGGAAGAAAGAGAGACTGATTCAGCTAAAAAATAAACAAAACCCTAGTTTATTGTAATATTCTCCAGTCCAGTAGGTGGCAATAAAACACATCTAGGCTGGTTTGAAAGTCGCCAAAGGTAGAAGAAGAAGCAAGCTCCGAGGAGGGGAGGGCCCTGCAGCTGCTGCTTTCTGGCAGAAACCCCGTAGTGTAGCACCGCAGCGCCATTCGGTAACTGCAACAGTATCCAAAATGGCAGGAGCTGATGGAGACGATTCTCTTTACCCTATCGCCGTTCTCATTGATGAACTGCGAAATGAGGACGTTCAGGTAGGAACCCTGATTTTAATATTATTGTTTTTTTATATTAAAGATCAAAGCGTTTGGCATAATTTCTTAGTCGTCAGATTGTTAGCTAGCTATCTAGCAAATATGCTAAGTAACGTTCTCGGTCTGGGCCTATCAGGAATTTTCTGCCGGGCCCACCCTACCCGGCTAGTCTAGTTTGTTGTCGACAGTAATATACCGCTCTTTGAGTTGGTTTTTACGCAGATGTACATTTTAATATATTATCACGAAGATTGACAAACTAGGTCATTCATTTAGCTGCTAGCTAATGTCTAGCCAAGCTAGCCGAATGAGCGTTCAACTAAGGAATCACAACAGCGGGGCGTTTGAGGCCGCAGTGGGTATAGATCACGGCTGATCACGCAATTTATTCCTATCAGTCAGTGGAAAGCTTTGCCTTCTAGCAAGCAATTTGAAACGCTGGGTCGCTTTAGTTAGCAACTTGTGACGCAATTTTAAACCAGATGATAACACTAATACGCGTTCTTGGGTTAACAGTATGAATTATAGGGTTGTATTTATTTATTTATTTTGTTATTGGCTCAGGGTTTCTGAATCCATCACTAATTTTCCATTTTTCTTCCAGTTGCGTCTGAACAGCATCAAGAAGCTGTCCACTATTGCGCTGGCCCTGGGTGTAGAGAGGACCCGAACTGAACTCCTCCCTTTCCTCACAGGTAATAAAAGCAGTTTTATATTAAAGCGCTGAATGTGTTGCACTTAAAACTGGGCCTTGTAGTTGCTGAGGCTGCCAGTAATCCACATGTAGATTTACAGTCCTTCTCTCACCCTCAGACACCATCTATGATGAAGATGAGGTGCTTTTGGCATTGGCTGAACAGCTTGGCAATTTCACTATGTTGGTGGGAGGTCCAGAGTATGTCCACTGTCTTCTGGTAAGTCTACAAGCTTCAGATTTTTTTTGTAAACACATGCTTGCAAGGAGATGCATTCCCCATTATATTAAATCTGTATTGACATTTCCTTAGAATTAGCTAGTTTATGTAAAAGTCAATTTACTACACATGAACTTTGCATCAACGTATTTTTCAAGAGTGGGCCAAACGCTAATGTTAAAGTCAGGTTACATTAGGTTGCACTAGGACACAAAGGGTAGTATCTAAACACATCTTAACCCACACATAGTTCATTTACTGGATTTAGACTAGTAATAACAAACTGTTGACACAATTACATCAGTCCCTCAGCTCAACAGTTTCACCATAGGACTGACCTGTGGACTTAGGATCAAAGATGATCATGTTTGTGACGACAAAAATAAAAGTAATCGACTGACATTTCAGCTCTTAAGATTTGATGATTTTCCTAACTTTTCTTTGTTTGTTGTAAAGAGATTTTTAAATTTGGAATTAGCAGTACATCATATTCTATACAATTGTTTTATCACAACCTTGTATAAATTTTCAGTTTGTTGAAAGGTACATTTTCTAAATTCAGACTGTAAGCAATCCTATGCAGCCAGTCATTTGTTAGTATTTATGTAGCATCTAGAGATTCATTGTGAGTAACCCCTTAATGCCTATTGTATCATATTTGCTATATAGAGTTTTTGTGAGATGTTTATTTGTGATGCTTTTCCATCATCAGTGTGGATTAAGTTGATCTCCACTTATTTCTTCTTGATGTTTAGCCTCCTCTGGAGAGTCTAGCTACAGTGGAAGAGACAGTAGTCAGAGACAAAGCTGTGGAGTCCCTGCGAAAGATCTCTCAGGAGCACTCTCCAGTTGACCTGGAGGTCCACTTTGAGCCTTTGGTGAAGCGGTTGGCCAGTGGTGACTGGTTCACTTCTCGCACATCTGCCTGTGGCCTCTTTAGTGTCTGTTATCCTCGTGTTTCCAGCACCGTCAAGGCTGAGATTCGTCAGTAAGTGGCTTCTTGAAAAGTGGACAGATTTTTAAATTGCTCCAAATCCTTTTTTCTTAACTTATTTGCTTGTAATGAGTCACTTGGTGGTTGTTTTAGTCTTCTAACAAGGTTTCATTTGATGTTTGTTGTTATTTCTAGGCATTTTCGCACCTTGTGCTCAGATGACACTCCTATGGTGCGTCGTGCTGCAGCATCCAAACTGGGGGAATTTGCCAAAGTCTTGGAGCTGGAGTATGTAAAAAGTGACATAATTTCCCTTTTCACTGCCCTGGCCTCTGATGAGCAGGTATGAACATCCATCCCCAAAAAAAAAAAAAAATCCATTGAACTGCAGTGTTCTTATTTTGGGTAGTCCATTCTTGGTGTCGTTGCCTGTTGGGAGGCCAAACTGATCCCATCTTTCTTCATCAGGACTCAGTGCGCCTGCTTGCAGTGGAGGCTTGTGTCAGTATTGCCACTCTGCTGCCTCAGGAGGATCTGGAGACCCTGGTGATGCCAACCCTACGTCAGGCTGCAGAAGATAAGTCCTGGAGGGTCCGTTACATGGTTGCTGACAAGTTCTCTGAGGTAAACTGAAAGACAACTTCTTTGATTTAAATGTAGAATTAACATTTTAGAAATTCTGTTTAAAACCAACTTTAAATAGGGCACTTTTTTGATATAGAGTAATTCTGAAGCGGAGTTGACTGTTTTTCTTTTACTGGATATAAAACCAACAACAGTAAAAGGTTCATACATTTCAGTGTTAATCTGCTGTATTTCTTTGATACTTGTTAGTAATCTTAGTTTGGACACATGTAGTGCTTTCAAAGAAGTGTTTGACATCACATCATTAAATAAACCACCCCTGTCCAAACATTTGTGCTGCATATTTACTGAGCAAAGGTGTCATTGGAATAATAATGATTAACAAACCCAACATCCTCAAACAAGTAGCTGAGATTAAATCTTAACTTCCTGTTAAAACTTTCAGAAAAAATACTAAGAGCAAAAACAGGATGGAGAGATTTAAAGGTGGCTCTCTTAGACTTGAGCTGAATTAAAGTTCTTTGTTGCCATGCTGCCGTGGGCACAACTAATCACATGCATTCAGGTCATTGAGCCATTTTTGATCAAAAGAATCTATGCAGCTGCAAAACTCGATTGAGCTTTATTATGAAGGTGACACAAGTTTAAATAAGCCCACAAACATTACTAGTAGGTAATTAAAATCTTTTACCAGTGGGCTTTAATTAAGATTTGTAATATTTGGAGCTTTATCTTTGCTTTTTCATTACAATAACACCATGTTTTTGATGTGTTTAGTAAGTTCTAGAGCAAATAAAAAACGTGTTTTTATTGGCTATAAAACAGTTGTGATATAAGGAAAAATGCATAGTAAATATTTATTAGCTTGAACAGCCCTATTTCAGAGGCTATTTTGAGTTTTACCTGTCAGATTATAAGTAGCAGCAGAAAAGATTTAAGTATTGTACATTTTAAAAAGTCAGTTTCCAGTTAAGCCGAAGATTTAGCAAGACTGCAGCTTTGACATGCATCCATGCAATACACGGCTATACAGGGTCAGCAAAATTAAGAGGATAAGGTGCCAGGTGATAGACCCAGGCCATGGCACGTACATTAAAAAAAATCTGTTTTATACATAGAAATCGTAAAGTTTATTTCCATCTTAATATTCATTGAAACCTCTTAACTATCAGTGTTGAGAATTTTGAGTCAGGTTGTTTGCTCATAATATCACAATGTGAACTTTTAGCCACATTAAAACCTCCCAGTATCTTCCAGTGACCTTTTTACTGGAAGACACTGGGAATTGTGTCACATGCTTACTTAGTAAATGGAGATTAATTGATTTCTGTCTGAATGTAGCTCCAGAAAGCAGTGGGCCCAGAGATCACAAAGAACGACCTGGTCCCAGCTTTCCAGAATCTTCTGAAGGACTGTGAAGCTGAGGTCCGTGCGGCTGCAGCCAACAAAGTCAAAGGTAGGAGATTTTCTTGAAATGAATCGCACTGGCCGAACTTGATTCAGCCTCTTGACCACTGCTT